ATTTTATGACTTGATTTTTTTATGATCTAATTTTATGACTTAATTTATTTTATGACCTAATTTTATGATTTATTTTTTTATGATTGATTTTTTATTGATTTTATGACTTAATTTATTTTATGACCTAATTTTATGATTTATTTTTTTATGATTGATTTTTTATTGATTTTATGACTTAATTTATTTTATGACCTAATTTTATGATTTATTTTTTTATGATTGATTTTTTATTGATTTTATGACTTAATTTATTTTATGACCTAATTTTATGATTTATTTTTTTATGATTGATTTTTTATTGATTTTATGACTTAATTTATTTTATGACCTAATTTTATGATTTATTTTTTTATGATTGATTTTTTATTGATTTTATGACTTAATTTATTTTATGACCTAATTTTATGATTTAATTTTTTAAATATTTTATGACTGAATTTTTATTGATTTTATGACTTGATTTTTTTATGATCTAATTTTATGACCTAATTTTATGATTTATTTTTTTATGATTGATTTTTTATTGATTTTATGACTTAATTTATTTTATGATCTAATTTTATGACTTGATTTTTTTATGATCTATTTTTATGACTTAATTTTAATTACTAATAGTAAAATCCCAAAATATCTTCCACAAAATCAAAAATGCAATAAACTTTATTCCCAAGTGCGTTTTAAAAATAAAAATAAAAACAAACTTTTTTTTTAAATCAGAATCTTAGCAAATAAAAATAATTAATAACAACCGATAAAATGTCTTACGACATTGTTCACTCGAATGTTAAATTAAAAATAACGACAAATGTTGTTACGTGCACTCAGTTATTTTCGAACAAAAATATTTACGTATTGATATAATTATAATAAATAATCACCGATAATGTAAAAGTTTTTAATTTAACTATAATTTATTGATTAACAAAAAATCATTTAAAAATTTATTAAACAAAATGATCAATGATTTAAAATAAATATTAAATATAGCCGGCGAAATCAGGGCTTGAATAACTTTAAGATAAACAATCAATTAAAGTGATATTAAATTGCATACGGATCAGTGACCCCTCTTCGCTTCATACTTCTTATAATATGTAATATAAATAACAATTAACTCATTTTATTTTTTTTATCTTTTCATTCAATTTTTCTATTTTTTTTTTTAGCGCCTAAATTTAAAGGGACTTTTTTTAAGTTATGTAATTTTTATCGATTTAGATAACTGACGGTACATCTTCAGATTTATTTAATAACAATGATTATTTTGTTGAGTAACGAGGATGTGTAAACAAGTAGACTTTTTAGTTTTTTTTAATGGCGGGCCGGTCCTCAAGATAAATTTGTTTAGACATTTTTTTTTTATTTAACTATCTGAATTTTTTTTTTCACCACAGATATCACTGGGCTAATCTGGGCTGATATCCAGTATCATCTTGTTCCTCCCAATATTCCCCAAAAAAATTTAATTTTTCCTCAAAAAAATTAATAATAATTAAAATTTCTTCTTTTTTTTTTTTTTTTTTAAAATTCAAAATTCCCGCTCAAAATCTCCAAATTCAAAAAATTCCACAAAACCTTTTTTATACCCCAAAAAAATTCCCTCCAACTTTCCTCCCAAAAATTATCCTCCAATTTTTAAAAACTCAAAATTCCAAAAAAAAATCACAAGAGACCTTTTTCGTATAAAATAAAATTCCCTCCAACTTTCCTCCCAAAAATTATCCTGAAAACTCCCAAAAAAAAAATCTCTTCCCAACAAATTTTTTTCTAGTTAATCATTAAAAGTTTATCATGTCAACGGAAAATTATATTACTTAATAAAAACTAGTATTAATTAAACCGCATAGACTGTCAACAATTGGCAATCAATAATTGCGCCCTTGCACTCTGACTCTTCACCAGTAATTGTTAACTAGACAAAACAGGGCGCTTAAAAAAAAATATAAAAAAAATCCGGATATAAATAAAATAAAAAACAAAAATAAAATTAAATCGCCAGCAAGGTGGCACTTGATTTAGGTTTATTTTTTACCTCACGTGGAACAGGAACAGTTCTATTGGTTAACTTTCTTGTATCACGTGTTAAACATGCATTAAAGCCGACCACTAGTGGCGAGTAAGAATTACCAAACAAGTGGGTAGTGGGGTGGTTAATATCTCAAGACCTTTTATATTTTGTCTCTTGTCAAGCCGGTCAGTTGTTGAGAATCTCGCGAGCTCTACGGATTGTTCTTAATAAGCTAAGCTAAGTTTTTAAGTGAGGTGACTTGTGCCAGTTTTTAAATAAACAGATCATTTTTACTCAAGGTTGGTATTTTTAAATCTTTACAACAAGTTAAACCAGTTTTACGCTTGGAAAATTCTGATCAATGGGTGCAACATGCGTTAAGGTTACTACTGCTCAAGAAAAGTTGTTTTTTTTTTTTTTTTTTATAAACGTCAGCATTTTTTTTTTGACTAAAATAGAACTCGAAAGAGGGAGGGGGAGTTATTTAAATTTTAGGTGGAAAATATTTTTACTTTCTCTTTATGTAACGCCTTTCTAGTGGATAACGGAAAAACTATCGCTCTTATAGAATTTTTATAGGCTTTAAATTTTTTAGAAAGGTTTTTTTTTGTAAAATTTATTCTAAAGGTGTTATTTAAAAGAAATTGTAAATTTAGGAGTGAAAATTGTTTTTTTTTAGGAAAATTTTGTTTTTTTTATACAATTATAAATTTAGAAATTACAACTTCTTAAATTACTAGTTTTTTTTTTTTTTTTTTTATAAATTAATTAAAAAGTAAAATTAATTTTTAAAGGTGTTATTTTGAAAAATTAAAAAATTAAAAATTGTTAAATTGTTATATTATTTTAGTATTTTTTTTTTAGGGCGTTAAATTTTTTGTAGAAAAAATTTTTTTAGTTTTTTTTTTGTGAAATTGATTTAAAAGCTGCAATTTTAAAATATTACAAATTTAGAAATTAAAAATTTTTGTATTAATAGTTTTTATTGTTAAAAGTTTGTTTTTAAAGATAAATATCGGTTTTATGATACTTTTATTTCAGTATTTTTTTTTTAGGGCGTTAAATTTTTTGTAGAAAAAATTTTTTTAGTTTTTTTTTGTGAAATTTATTTAAAAGCTGTAATTTTAGAAAATTATAAAATTGGAAATTGGAATTAACTCAATTACTAGTTTTTTTTTAACTTGCCGCTAAGAAAATTGAAAATTTTCAAAAATCCCGCTATGAGGCGTGCAAAAGTGATTTTTTGGAATTACTCCGAAATTTCTTGTTCTATCAATTTAAACTTAAAGATTATTTATGAAGGTTAAAAAACTGCGCCGAATGCCACCAACCGCGTGAAAATCGGTTCATTGATTTAAAAGTTATTGCGATTTGAAAATTCAAAAAAAAGTGTTTTATCAAACTTTTGAGCTCAAAAGCATACAAAACCTATTATTTTCAGCTCGGAGAGCTTCAATATACTTTTTATCAAGCCCAAAATTTCCTAAAAAGAAAATTAGGAATACGGTTGACCCTGAAGGCCATCCCTGCAACTTCCCGCCAATTCTATACCTAAACGCTTGAAATTGCACTTATGACATTTTAGAGCTCTTCGAGCTCATAAATACAATTTGTGTATTATTTTGAGTTTTTCGAGCTCAAAAAAATAGCTTTTGTATGCTTTCGAGCTCAAAAGTTTGATAGAAGTTTGATAAAACACTATTTTTTTAATTTTCAAATCGCAATAACTTTTGAATGAATGAACCAATTTTCACGCGGTTAGTGGCATTTGACGCAGTTTTTTAAGCTTCATAAAAAATCTTTGAGTTTATATTGACAGAGTGGAAAAATTCGGAGTAATTCCGAAAAAACACTTTTTTCGGTTTTCTTTCGTCAACGTTAACTCACGAACGAATTAACCGATTTTGACCGGACTGGCGGCGATCGACGTGGTTTTTTGATGTTAAGAGCTGAATAGTTTTTGAAATTGATCGGCAAAGCCGTTTAAAAGTTATTCCAAAAAAACCACTTTTGAAAAAATTTTTTTTTGTAGTTTTTTTTGCGATTTCTCAAAATCTACCGGTCCGAATCGGTCCAAAGTGTATTGGAAATCTAAGTTTGGTCAAGTCCTTTCGAATGGCACCAACCGCGATCAAATCGGTCAAGCCGTTTAAAAGTTATGAGAGGTTTACATACATCCACACACACACATACATACATACATACATACACCGTGACAACCTCGCGGGGATAGTCAGGGAAGCTTCCTATGACCTTAAAACATCGAGATCTGATGAAAACTCGATTTTTGCAAAACGGGGTGAAAACAATAACTTCCCGATTTTTGAAAATTTGAGACTTTTAGCGGGAAGTTAAAAATCTCTCTTACAATTTTCCCCTAATTCACTCTCAAGCTTAAAATTTCAAATAAAGCTCCAAAAAATCATAACAAAATTCAAATTTCCCGCCAAAAAATCGATTTTCCCGCCAAAAAGCTCTTTGACAAACTTTTTCAAAATTCCTCATCTGAAAACAAAAAAACTTGGTTAAAAATTGAAAAAAAAAAAAAAACGTCAGAGCTGAAAATAACTTTAATCTGTATAAACATGTGTCGAGATATAAAATTTTTCCCCGATTCGTCGACTCATTCATAATTCCGATAGCAATAACACGCGGATCTTTGCTCAGTAAAATTCCATCTTGTAAATAATAAAACATAAAGGATAAATAATAAACGTAAGCTCTTGTTTATTGAATAATTACCCACTTAAAATAAAATGGTATCTAATAATAGGTTAAAAAAAAAAGTTGGCCGTCTTCCAAGGGCAGGCAGACTATTATAATAATAGAAATATATTTACGGGCCAAAATAAAAATTAAAATTTAGTAAAAAAAAAAAAAAAAAAAAACATCCGACTGCGTCCTTAATCGTAAGATAAGATACCAATTTAATTTATTGATTAAACATAATTTATTACTGAATAAATAATTTAATTTTACAGACGAATGTGCTCGATAGCGATGCCAGCGGAGCTGATATTGGGTCACAGTCCTCCAGTCTACGGACACCATCACTTTTTGTACAACCCACTGATGGTAACAGCGTCCCCTGGAAATGGAATTAGGCCCTGCATAACTTCGACCATAGACCAGCTATCCGGGCTCACTATCAATCATTTCAATAAACAGCCCAAGAATGACAGTGAGGACATCAGGAAGGGGAATGATAAACAAAAGAAGCGCGTGGTCTTTGCTGATGACCGTGGGAGACCTTTAACTCAAGTTAGTTTATGATTTTATTTTTAGACACTACTTTTTACGTTTCTATTCATTGCTATGAAGGTTATTAGTGACGTTGCTTTGTTTATTGGGCTTATGGAATACGTTGCTATGGTAGAATAACTAATTTTATGGGTATTGTTGCTATGGTAACTGTTTTTGTACTAACAGTTGCTATGTTTACTATTTGCATAGTAATTTTTGCTATTTAAATCGTCGTTATGGTCTTTTTTTAATGATTATTGTTGCTATGGCAACAATTTTTACGTTATCCGTTGCTATTTTCACTATTAGCATGGTATTTTTTTGCTATGTTAGTGTTTCTATGGTAATTTTTTATATTTTAATCGTTGCTATGGCTTCATTCACTGATTATTGTTGCTATGGCAACAGTTGCTACGTTCACTATTTCCATGATAATTGTTGCTATGCTGAGTATATTAACAGTAATTATTGTTGTGTTAACAGTTTATATGTTATGGATTGCTATATTGACTATTTGTATGGTAATTTTTGCTATGTTAACATATTTTATGGTAACTGTTGCTATATAATTCGTTGCTATATTTACCATTTATATGGTAATATTTGCTATGTTACTGTTCTCATGGTAACTGTTACTATATTCACTATTTTCATGGTAATTTTTGCTATGTTACTGTTTCCATCATTTCCATGATCATTTTCGCTATTTAACCGTTTCTATGTTCACTATTCCCGTGATTATTCTTGCTAAGTTACTTTTTCCATGACAATTGTTGCTATGCTAAATATACTCACAGAAATTGTTGCTATTTTAACAGTTTCTATGTTGTCCGTTACTATATTTGCTATTTGTATAGTAATTTTTACTATGTTACTGTTTCCATGGTAACTTTTGCTATTTTAACCGTAGCTATGGTCTTTTTCAGTAATTATTGTTGTTATGGCAACAGTTGTTACGTTCACTATTTCCATGATAATTGTTGCTATGCTAAGTATATTAACAGTAATATTATTGTTGTGTGTTAACAGAGTTTCTATGTTATGGATTGCTATATTGACTATTTTCATGGTAATTTTTGCTATGTTACTTTTTCCATGATAATTGTTGCTATGCTGAGTATACTCACGGAAATTGTTGCTATTTTAACAGTTTCTATGTTGTCCGTTACTATATTTGCTATTTGTATAGTAATTTTTACTATGTTAATGTTTCCATAATAACTTTTACTATTTCAATCATTGCTTCAGTCTTTTTCAATAATTATTGTTGCTATGCTAAGTATATTTGCGGTAGATATTAATTATATTCACTATTTGCATGATAATTTTTTCTATGTTATTGTCAACTACTTTCATGATAATTGTTGCTATGCTAACTACATTCACGGTAATTGTTGCTATGTTAACAGTTTTTACCTTATCCGTTGATATAATCACCATTTTCATGGTAGTTATCGCTATGTTAACAGTTTCTATGGTATCCGTTGCTATGTTAACGTTTTATGGTAACTGTTGCTATATTCACTATGTCTATGGTTATTTTTGCTATTTTATTGTTTCTATGGTAACTTTCACTATTTTAACTGTTGCTATGGTCTTATTCAATGATTTGGATTACTGTTGCTATGTTAACATGTTTTATATTATCCGTTGCTATATTAATTATTTCCATGGTAATTTTTGCTATATTAACCTTTATTATTAAACTATTTCCAAATCATTCATTAGTATATTAACTGTTTTTATAGTTACTGTTGCTATTTTACTGTTACCATGGTAATTTTTTACCATATTAACTATCCTTAAGATCTATTTTGATGGTTATTGTTGCTATGGCAACTCATTTCATAGCAACTGTTGCTATATTAACAATTTCTACTTAGTTACTATTAGTATACCAAATATTGTTCCGTTACAATAAAATTCTAACTAAATCATAACCTTTAGGTTCGTGTGATGTCAGAACCAAGCAACATGCCTCCATCATTCTACCCAACCGGCTACTTATCAAAAGCAATCCGAGACCAAGCAGAAGCGACAACTAACCCCTGGATAGCCCACTTCCAGCAGCCTGCTAGCGACTACCTGGCCTTTAGACAGAAACTCGACCAAAATTCAGTCTGTCTGGAGAACGTGATAATCCGCGAAGCGGAAGAGTGTCTCGACGGGACCATCAAGGTCAAGAACGTCGCCTATGATAAAGAGGTCCTGGTGAGGACCAGTAGAGACAACTGGAAGTCCCACGAGGACGTCTACTGCACTTTTGTACAACAAATGGGCGCCAATGCTATTCAGCCCAAGTTTATACTTTATGATACCTTCAAGTTCCGCGTGACCTTGCCTGCTAACGCTGATAAGATAGAGTTCTGCGTCTGCTATCGCGTTAATGGTCAGGAATTCTGGGATAATAATGATGAGAAGAATTATGTCGTGAAGAAACGTCCTGAGGTAAGAAAAATTTAATATAAAATTTTTAATAAGGTAAAATCAATCAAAAATTATTTTTAGACCCTAAAATATCATTTAATTAATTTAAAATCTCAAATAAATTGATAAGTTGGTTAATATAGGCTTAAAAAGACAAAATTTAAAATTTTAGTTCTTAAATTATCTGTAAGATGGCGCTGGGCGCCGGATTAGGAACTACGTCACTAACCCGCGAAAATTTAAATTAAAAAAAATTTTTTTTTTTTTATTATTTTAATTAATCTTTCTCAATTTTTTTTTAATTCTTGTATGAAAAAAATTGTTATTAATATTGTAGATAAATAAGATTTAAAATAAAATAGGTGCCACTAATTGGTGGCCTTAACTTTTTAAAAAAATTCTATAAAATTAATTTTTTTTAATTTATTTTCAGTGCCGACGTTACTCATTGTTTTCACAAATGGACGCTAAAATTCCAAGCAACGTTTTGAATACAGTAGAGGTGAACAACGGAGATAATACCATCGGATCTGGAAAACCCAGCGAGGCGGTCAGAGCTAACATTCTTACCTGGAGCGAATTCGCTTCTTGGCAGCATTTGAATAACGACGCACCTTATTGGTGATTCTGTTAACTGTAACGATAATATATCACAATTTCAAGAAGTCAAGCAAGAGCAGACTGATGAACATGACATTCACGCGTTTACTTCCGGGTCCGCGGAGCTGGCTTCTTTTTTATTAGAATTAAGTTATTTTAGCAATATCTACTTGCCTTAAGGACAAATGCCGTTATTTTAGATTATTTTGGTGAGTTTTACTTTTATTTATGATTTTTTGACTTAAATTTAAAAAATTTCTCTTAAAGTCTTAAAAATTCCTCCAACATTAAAAAACTAAAAAAAAAGCAGTACTTGCTCTCATAAATATACTGCAAGTAATAAATTGTCCGGATCTTGTTCACCCACGTGTGCTATTACGAGCCAGACATCCTTGTATATTTTTACCGGCGCACCTCGATAAAATTTTCTCCGGAGAATTTATCACTCTAATATAAACATTTTTCTTCTTTTTTTTTTTTTTCAGACTGGTAATATTTACGATAATATGAGACTGACTCAAAAGGCATCACACGATTACTCAAAAGATATATAAATAATAAATTAGAGAGATCAACCGCGAGAGTGGAAGACTGATATATATTTACAACCTTGATAATTAATTAATTAATTATTTTAATTATAGTCATAATTATACTCTGTTATTATTTTTTTTAGATATATCTAAATATATATATAAATAAATTTATGTTTTTCTAATTAAATTTTAATTAGATACTTGTTACGATTAATTGTAAAATTGTAAATAAATTTTTGTTAAATAATCAAGGCCACACTGTTTTCTCTATCCAGTCTAGGTATGATGATACTTTTGTGTAAATTGCAGGTGAGTTTTTAAAAGCGCAGAATTTTCCGAAGCTTGTTATTCCCAAGACACTGTAAGTACAGTAAGGTTCACGTAGTACGCGCTGTAATGGTCCTCCACTATCACCCTAAAAAAAAAAAATTAATTTTATTTAATTATTTTTAATAAAAAATATGGAATATGTTGATGATATAGTCGATAAAGCCTTAAAAAAAAAAGCAAAATTTGAAAATTTAGTTCCTAAATTTTCTGTAAGATGGCGTTGCGCACCGGATTAGGAACTACGTCACACTCCCGCCAAAATTCAAATTATAATTAATAAAAAAATTTGTTTTATTAAGTAATTTTAATTATTTATGATGAAAAATGTAGAATTAATTAATAATAATGTAGTCGAAGCCTTAAAAAATTACAAATAATACAATCTCTATTCTAAATCTAAATAACTCACCTGACAAGTGTCTTTTCCCCCTTCCATAACTCCAGCACAAATCATCGTATCTCTCAATCCATCCGGCATAGCCTTACTCCCAACTTCACCCTTAAACTTCTCCCTACATTCCTCCGTTTGAATCCTATCCAGCGTAACTTTCATCAAATCTTCACTCCCCGCCTCTGCTTCTACAAGTCATAAAATTAACCCCCATTCTCTAAAAAATCCTCCTTAAAACTCACCATAAGCAGTTTTTCCGAATCCACTAGCAATAAACATCTTATCTAAAAGCTTCTCCTCCACCTCCAAGCACGCCGGCCTAACTTCCGCTGTCAACTCTACAGATTTCTCTAATTTTAGCAACGCAATATCATTGTACCTCAACGGAACCTTGTAATCAGGATGCGTTAGTCTTTCCTTGACGTTCCTTTCCTGCATAAATGGCCCCGGAGACTTTAAATTAATTAGCCCGACTTGAACTTTCGTCGCTGGACCCCTAAACAAGTCAACCAATCAAATTATCATCTAGTTTTTTAAATAATTCACTAAAAAGCGGGAAAAAAAATACTTACTTGTCCCTTGAATCCATACAGTGAGCCGCAGTAAGCACAAAATTATCCGAAATTAACGTTCCACCACATTGCCAAGATATTTCATCCTTTCCGAATCCAATAACTGCCTAAAAATGTAAATTTTATTAAAAACACGCCTCTTTTTGTACTTAAGCCCCGCCTATTGGGGGTATTACCATAGCAACACCCCCTAGCAACCGCTTTAAGCCCCACCCATTGTCCAATTGCCTAGCAACGACAATAAAACATGCCCATTTACTAAAAAACGACGCCGTTTCCCCAAAATCACGCCCCTTTTTGTACTTAAGCCCCGCCTATTAGGTTGTTACCATAGCAACGCCCCTAGCAACTGCTCTAAGCCCCGCCCATTGACCAGTTACCTAGCAACCAGCCTAACAACGACAATAAAAACACGCCCCTTACTTAAAAACCACGCCCCTTTTCCAAAATCGCACCCTTTATACTAAAAATCACGCCCCTTTTACTAAAATTACGCCCTTTTTTAAAAAATTGTTTTTTTTTAACAATATAAAGCTCTGGTTAATATTTTTTTACTTATTTTATAATTTAAATTGATTTTTTTGAATCTAATATTAAATTTATGATCTTGTCACCTTTAAGGTTTGTAATATTAATAATTTTAATTAATTAATAAATTACCATATGAGGAAATTCCATAGGCTTAGCTTTAGTTCCTCCGACGATTAAAGGTGTCTCAATGATCCCACACTTGGAAACAGTGTTTGTTCCTGCATCGAGCCGGAGAACTGGAACGTCTTCGTCGGCATAGACTAATTTTGCATACTCCTTGCATTCTGAAAAAATAAAATAAAAATTTGTTAGTATCAAATGACTATATAATGAAAAAAAAAAAAATGTAAAATTTGAAAATACTTTGCTGAGAAATGCGTTCTGAAGAAGAAAGTGGTAAAAAATGAATCAACCAAATGAGTCCAAGTGTCTTCATGTTGGCCAGCAGAGTTTGTATTGCCACACTAACTGTTTTTACTTCAAGGATTAATTTAATAGTTATTGACTGATAAAAGTTATTAAGTTGTTATAACGAGTCATTAATTTTAGGAATATAACGAGCCTGCTCTAATAGATTGACGTTTCTTGAAGTGATGGTGATATTGTCTGATAAGAACTCTAGTTTAGATCAATTCAAGAGAATGCATGTAATTGATTTTAAGTTAAATTATCACTTCAATAATAACATCAATTGATAAAATCACACGCTAAAGACAAAAATACTCACAGATCAATCACAATAACCGGTGTTAGAATATTGCAAAACAAAACTTATCTACTAATTCAATGGTTGACTTGTTCTTTATAAGAATCACACGCGAGAAGTTGACGGAACTATTAAACCCGGGGATAAAATATTCCGTGGTTGTGCTCTCAATCTCTCAATGAGCTTCCGTCGCTCCTTTTCTCGTCTTAGATATTTAGAGCGAATGTGGGAGACAAGAAGTTCAATTCCAAAAATGACCAAGCTCCACAGCAAGGTAGCCGCAAACACAATTACATAAAACACCAAGTTATCAAAGTCGATCCGTTGATAGTTTTCAGCTTCTTTGATTTTCTCCATTTTCTCTATTTTCTTCCATAGGTTTTTTGTTATCTCTTCATCGTGATGGTAAGTTAATCCTGTTTCCACCGGTATTGAACGGACTTTATCAATTTTGTCCTTCAGCGCCCAGTTCTTCTTCGTCCAAAACACAAAATATTTCTTAAACGTGATTTCCTTTGATACATACAGATTTTGAAACCTTAAGGAGTGCTGGAGTTGGGTTTCAGTCAAGTCAATACAAGCGATGGTTGAATTTTGTTGGGCTTCTATCACACATTTGTACCGATCATGAGGACCCGATGGATGCAAGTATTCCTGGTCCTCTTCGGTCACCCACAATTTTTTGTTAAACATGTCTCTTGTCAATGCCGGATTGTAAAACACGTGGTATTTGTTGTCAAATAAGTCCTTTAGGGTTTCAACATTGCGTCTTGCGGGTTGAGATAGAATGGCCGAGATTTGTCCTTGGAATTCGGGCATCACCACAAAAATGAATAAAAATCCAAAGAAATAAATAATCTTCATTGAGAGACGTCCCATTGGAGATATTATCCCAATGTTCAGTGACATGCTCACAATGTCCATGATTCCTCTGCTAACGTTAAATTTATTGTTCATGATTATGAATACTGCAATCAAGAACAACACGAAGAGTGTGATGAGGATGAACTGAAGATCGATGTGAATTTCGGTGGCTGCCGTCAAATAATTTGTTTTCTTCGTCAGAATTGAATAGTGCATTTCATCATACTGCGTCACAAAATCAGTCAATCTAGGATTTGTATCATCTAATTGTCTCACGGTGTTTATAGCATCATACTGACGATTGAAAAGTTTTTCGTCAAAACCGTTATTTATAATTAAAAAATCGGAATTTACTTCGGAGATTTCAAGAGATGCTGTTACTTTCATATAATCCGGTAATGAATTCAATTTGCTATCTTTGAACTTTTCTTCAGATTTCATGTACTTAATAATATGTTTCTCCTTGTACTGTTCAGGTACATTTTTTTGAATGATATAGGCGAATAATTTTATTTCATGACCATCCAAGTTCTCAGTAGACTTATCAAAATAAATATTTTTATAGTTGTTCTTCAAATCTGAAAATCAATTAAGAGAAATAATTTAGCTTCTACAATTGCATCGTAAATGATATTATTAAACTTGAAAATTACCTCTTGGATACTGCAAACTGTATAGTGTCGACTTTCTTTTACTACTGCTATTGGCATTTGCAAATTTAACTTGATTCCAAGGTGACGGAGCGCATTGTGTGTAAAGGTTCCAGGTGTAGACCATGGTTGAATCATTGTTGTCATCATAGCACACATAGTATGATATTAAAATATCGAGCTTTCCAAGAAAACCAAGAACCATAGAAGCTTTACTATTATGCGCCCCTTTAGAAATGTCGAGAATAAAAATTGGCGACTTTATGTTCCAGACTGTTGAACCCATGAACCCAAAGATGAGTGGTACCAGTTTCTCCATAGATTCAAATCTAAGAATGTACGTAGGATAGCTGGGAAGAAATCCACCAATTTGCTTCCGTCGGTGATCATCATTTATGATAACCAGCGGACTTCCATTATCAATACTTCCGCTAGCTACTTGGTCATCAACCAAGTCAGAAGATATTATCAGTGGGTTAGAATTATTTCCAAAACCTCTATCAATCAATTCTATCTGCAAGAACAATAAGTGATTTTTAAACCAATTAACAATTATTTAAATTTAAAAAAAAAAATTTGGCCACGCTTGAGCTCAAGGCGTGCAAAATAATCAACTTACCGTATGATTGATAAGACGCATTTTGATTTCTGAACTGTCAATGCTGCTTCCATTTGAAAAGTGACCAATAAATACGCAGCAGCAGAATAAAATAATTCTAATCAGCTGCATTATTAATCTGTTGATGATTAATTTAGAAAATGAATCCTGGAGAATTAAAGATCAAAAATGTTTTAAAACTCTAAAAGTCTACGATATGGATTTAAAAAAGTGACGATTTGACTGACGAGCTAGCGACTGAGTAGTTTGAAGTAAAGTAGCTGACTGAATGCTTTGCAATATAATGTGTGACTTTGTATCGAATTGTTGCCCATGACAACTGCAGCTAACAATGTGGTAAAATGTCGTAAAAGTTAGTGCGAAGCTTCGTGGAAAAGACACGTCAACTAGGTCAGTAATTAGTTAGTTCTGGAAAAAGGAATTTTTATTGCTTCCGTAGAACCGGCTGAGGCCTCTACAAGAACTAATACTGGTGCCGTAGAAACTATCGACCAAAAGTCCCTCAGGGGCTGTGCTCTAGCTCTTTCGCTTCACTAATCTTCCATCGGTAAGCAAATAGTAACATACATTACAAACTTGACCAGGTATTTTTATTCGATGCAACCAACGTGTCGATTTATTTAATAATTATATTGCAAGAATATGAGACAAGTCTAATACAAGGTGCATTGAAAAACTTTCTGATGGATTTTTTGAATCAGAAACTCACAACAGACACTTACCCATCACTTGCTCAACATTTGCTCAAGATCCGTAATTCTCATTAATTTGTTCATTTCTAAAGCATTTGTCAACCAAAAACTAACAGCAAATGTTGAAGCGTGACTTGCTCAAGATTTGCTCAAGATGCATCATGCATTATATATTTTATAGGACTTTTTCCCCGACAACTACTTGAAGATGTATTGATTCAGTGGTGGTCATTTTAAAATAATTTTGTCTTGATCGATAAAATAGTAGGTCTATACTCTAAAAGGTTAAGCTGAATGAGATCCACTGATCCTATAGTAAATATAGGAGGGGTAGAATGATAAGAACGGTCATTCGAAAACATTTGATCTTTAGCAGATCTTGAGCAAGTCTTGCACAAATATATTCAGCATGCTTCTGGTGTCAGTCTTTCTCAAGAATTGATATAGTTAGTTTATCGATAAGCATCTTCAAATTTTTTTCAATTTACTTACACAATTGTTGAGCTATAATCTGGCCGAAAGTTTTTGTACAAGGCTTGTTCAAGACTTGTCAATTGAATTTGCTACAAGTATCTGGAGCAAGACCCATAGGTAGAAAAAGACACTAACTATCGAAATTGAGACCAGATTTGCTCGAGCGCCCAGCCGTTTTAGGCGGGATACCCCTCCGGCGGGCCACTTTCCCCTACATCACCGAATTGTGAGCTTGTTGGGAGCATTTTTGATGTTGTCTGAGGTGCCCTAGAAGTTGCCTCACAAGATGACCCAGTGGAACCCAAGCTTGGTGGTAGCTCAGGTGCTGCATATTTACGCATCTCAGCAGCATTCTTTTCGATGAAGGTAATGTAATCAAAATATATTCACACGTTGTTTTCAATTTATCATGTTGATACTCATGCGCAAATTCGGATAATTTGAAAGTCAGTTCAAGGTCTGTTTTAGCTTTGTCCATTTTTCCCTTGTAATGAAATGTAATACTATTTATTTTCAACTCTTTCATAGAAGTTACCATTTTCGAGATTACAGGTCCTTGGGCTGACATTATAATTCTATGAGCTGGCAATACAATGTCTTCAATTTTAATAATCATGTCGATATATTCTTTACTGTTATTACCATTTTTCAGTATACTGCTGACATCTGAACAATACAATAAGTCTTTAACGAATCCGTTCCAAATTATTGTCACCGTATACAAGTGATTTCGTTTTCTTTCACAAAAATCTGGATTATCTTTTTTATCGCAAACGTCAAAATCAAAAGGAATATTCAATTTATCAAAAGATAATATATCTTTCCAATCAACAACGCTTTTAGTTGAATTTAATTCACCGTAGTCTATTTTTATTATTGAAACAGCTTTTCTAATATCGTTCTTTTTATTACTTGTACGTACATCTTAGACTTATTAGCTATACGAACGGAAATTGAAAATTTAACATCTGGAATTTTGGATGTTTCAAATTTAGGTGAATTCATTCCTTCTTTTGTAAATCCGATTTTTTCAAAAGTATATTTGAATGTAAATAATACATTCTTTCCGTCTTTATTTTCCTCACTCATCTCACACACTAAAGAAAAAATTATTATTAAAATTATATTTGCTTTTCGAATGCTGACAAAAAATTCTTAACTTACCGATTAGTGTTACTGTACATCAGAAAGATCACAACTTATTTTACATAAAATACTATAATTTTTTAAGCCAACTTAACAGTTCTTCAACGAAGTTTTCTTTAATACTGACGACAGAATCAATATATGTTATCGCCGGACTTATCAATCTTAATGCTTACATCACTTTCAACTGATAACTGAAACGTGAAAAATCCAAACGAAACTTTGAATTTCCTGTCTTTTTAGTAGATTTCATAAAAATCTGACTATTGCAGTCATCCTAGTGGCGCAACTTTTAGAAAAATTCACCCATTTTCTGACAGTCCAACAAACTAAGTCAGAAAATATTATTCAAAAGCTTATAAATATATGTATATATATTTATCAAGCAATTTTGTGATCTTTAAATGCCTCTATCACAACCATATTACACTTATACAATAATATAAGTAGATGTACACGGAGAAAACACTTAAATTAAACCATCTTTTACTTTCTAAAATCATTTCATGTAGCTATTTTGAAAAAAAAAAAAAAAAAAAACGTTTTGAAAAAAATTTTACGTGGACGTTCTGATGTCACTCCATTTTGGATGTAACAACGATTACTCCCGAACAAATAGATATTTAAAGACCGGACTTTTTTTATTAGTTTAAGAATTCGATTAACTGGCTCCGTATTTAATATTAGTAGCCTAGTTTACGTATTTGTTTTTTTAAATTGAATTTTTATTAAAATTCACTACGATACAATCGTACAAAGACAAACGAACTTTTTTTATTTGTCACGTGAAAACTATGGCGCCACTTGATCAAGCTAGATTTTTTTAGACTAAGTGCGCATGTGACAAGAAAAAAAGGGCGCCAATATTTAAAAAAAAAAATGAGAAATGACTTAATTATTTTTTTTTTTTATTACACAATTTATTTTTTGCTTAAAAAATGAATAAACGTCATGAGGCGTGGACTCAGAATTAATCTTGATGTAGCCATATATATTATTCCATTAATGCAGCCAGCATTTTAGAGATATTCACTGTAATAAAAGCACTTGTTTGTTGCTGTAATATAACTGATAACTAAAATATATTCACACGTTGTTTTCAATTGATCAATTTGATATACATGGGCAAACTTGCACAATTTTAGCGCGAGTTCAGCGTCTGTTTCAGCTTTGTCCCATTTTTCCCTTGTAAACGAACAGAAGCAGTTCTTTTATTACATCAGTGTCAGTAGAATCCGAAAATGTAAGACTATTTTCTTTGGACTCTTTCATACCAGAAGTTAATATTTTGTAGAATACAGGACTTTGGGCTGATGAATTCGTCATCTTTAATTTTAATCACCATGTCCGTAAGTTCTTTATCGTCATATAAAATTTTCATCTGAGTGCTCGCATCTGAATATTAATAAAAATCTTCAACGAATCCGTTCCAAATTATTTCACAAATTATTGGTATTGTGTATTCGTGAGGGCTCTTGCCGTGGGCATAAAACTTTGGATAATCTATATATCTATGGCATACGTCAAAATCAAAAGGAATAATTAATGATTCAAACAATAACATATTTTTCCAATCAACAACGCGCCTAGTTGAATTAAATAATCCATCGAAGCTTATTTTTATTATTGAAACAGCTTCTCTAATATCGTCTTTTATTACTCTTACGGACACCTTAGATGCTACATTGTTTATACTAGCGGAAATTAAAAATTTAACACCTAGAATTTTGGGTGTTTCAAATGTAGGTGAATTTATCCACCCGCTTAAATGTGTTATTTTCGTAAAAACATGTTTGAATTCAAATAATACATTCTTTCCGTCCTTATTTTCCTCACTTATCTCACACTAAAAAATAAATTATTAAATTTTAATTATTTTTACCTATAAGTAGAAAAATGTAGCTTTCCCAAAACCAGAAAAAAATTTTTAACTTACTGATATAGTGTTACTACTGTACAGAAAAATCACAACTTATTTTACACAAAACACTATAATTTTATAAATTTTCTCAGCCAACTTAACAATTCTTCTACGCATAGATTACTTTAATACTGACGATAGAATCAATGTTATCAACCCGACTTATCAATCTTGCTTACATCACTTCCAACCGATAACTGAAACGTGAAAAATCCAAACGAAATTTTGACTTTCCTGTCGTTTTAGTAGATTTCATAAAAATCTAACTATTGCAGTCCTCATGGCGCAAATTTTAAAAAATTCAGCCATTTTCTGACAGCAGCTCAACAAATTGAGTCGGAAAATATTATTCATTCAAAAGCTTATAAATATATGTACATATCTATGATACAACGCGGCTTCTCAGCACGATAGTGCTTACAATTTTTCTCAAACTCAACATATGCTTTATCTATTGATAAAGGACCAAGGTTAAGTTCGAAGCTAAGCTAAGCTAGTGTGTGAAATTTTGCAGAACTAGATATGAGATTTCGTAAATTGCATTGTAAAGCTCTTTTATTAATCAAATTTTTAGAGTTGATGGTTTAAAGAAACAGTTTTACTATTGCAGCTGTTTTAGAATTATTGGCTATTATATAGTATAAATATGATGTCGATTTAATAATCATGATATTGATCAGTCTTCCTCACTTCGAAAGATTTTTTTACTTGTTCCAAAAAAAGTTATGAATTTTTCAAAAAAATGGCTCTTTATAACTTTTATACACACTATTGTAAAATTAAATAAAGTTTCACGATATCACATGAAACTCCAAAAAACTTTCATCAATCATTGATTAAAAAATGAAATTTATTTTATTAGATCGACAAAAGACAATCATAAAATACTGTTACAGATTAATTACAATAAAAATGAAAATTTAATAATATATGCCTTTAGTACGCAATAAGAGCTCTAATAGAATCAACAAATGGAAACACTTCATCAATGGAACCCTTCTTGGAGCATTGGAAATCAGTGAATCCATAAACAGTGAATCCTCTAATAACTGGAGATCCAGCACCGACCTGTTGAATAAAAATAAAATCACAATTATTATTAAGAGCAACCCAAATCTAATTTGGTATCTAGCTGACCAAATTGAAGGATATAATTTTTTGGATCAAAAGTTACAAACTAAAAACTCACCTTGCGCGAAAGTTCTTCCCCACAAGCGTGAATATCATCATTGATCCTACAATTTTCATTATTAACAATCAAAATCTCCTTCTTGAAGGTTTGCTTAGCAATCTTAGCAATTGGAGTGCACAAAGGAGTCCATCCAAAGGAAAGATAAGAAGCTCCTCGCCGAAGTTTCGCTGTTGGCAAACTGTAGACCGTTATATCCTTCTCGATTTCATTTTGTAACTGCAAAAGATTACCAAAAGTCCATAATTAGATTCCTTTCTTCCACGGAAAAATTATAAATCCTAAAATTCATTTGTTACCACAACATATCTTAGGTTATCTTAACAAAATTTTTTTCTGCGTCTTCCAGATCTATAGTCTGGTCGGTCGTTAGATCTACAGTCTGGTTCATAATCAATGGACGTAACACATGCATATCGACGGTCTAATTAGCAATTGGCCTAACTCCTTATTTTTTAGAGGGTGATTTTTTAACATTTTGATGTAGCAATAATCTAATTATAAATTATTTTAATGACCCAAATCAAAATATTATACCTCTATTAGATATTAAAGTATTTGTTAAAGTGATAAAAAATTTTGAATTGTTTTTTCGTACAAATGGAAGATTCTCTAAAACGGAGTTAAACAATTTGCTAATTAGAACGTCGATATATTAGAATGTATCCTAGGATATAGTCCCAGCATATATTCTAGGATAGATAATTTTTCCGTGAAGGTTAATTGTCATTGTTGATGATTGAAGACTTACAGTAATAACAAGAAGATTCTCTCCTAAGGCATCAACTTTCTTAACATCACGGAAAGAATTCTCCTGTTCCCAATTGACGGCTCCAGAAGCTACGGCGACAAGCTTCTTGTTTAGATTAATATTGCAGGCCCTTGAAATCAAAACATGCTTCTTGCTGACGGGAACTCCAACACATCCGTGATAATTAGAGGTCTTTTCTTCGGTAACAATTACAGAAGTGCGGTACGTAGTTCCTATTTTCTGGAGAGTTCCCCAGCGGATGTTTGTAGATTGTGACCCAAAGTTGTAATAAATTTCGTGCTGCTCAAAATCGTCGAAACCTGCAACAAAATAACTCCCTGATTAAAGCTGATGGACTAGAGAAAAAGGTATCAAAAATAGTTACCTTGTGCTGCCACTAGGGCGAACAAAGCGCTAATTATCAAGACTTTAATGGCCATCGTAAGACTAATATTCGATTTGAAGTTCGATCAAAATTGCCGAGAATTTATATACAAGCTTGTGTTTACGCTGAACCACTTGTATTTTGTTAGGTTGTGTTTTATCAGTTGGATTTACGTAAAATGGTTTGGGTGTCAAGGTTAGCGATGCGGTGTTTGGTGTTAATTGTATTATACAGGTTTGACGGAATTCGATACGCTTATCTATTGGACTAGATAAATATAGTTTTGATAAAGTGCGTGATTAATTGGATTGATTGTATATTTGTTGTTACGACTGATAATAACAACATCGATGCGTTGGAAATGACATTGAATTTTTTGGTAGGTATATAATCAGCTCCAAACTTTGTTTTAATTGTTTTTTTGGAATTTTAAATATAGTTTAGTAGCGGTTTTGGAAATGCTGCAAAGATTTGATATTTATACCCCTATTAAAGAAATCCAAATAGGAAGTGTGGATTCCTAACGGAATCCACACGGAACCTGTGGATACATGGATTCCTATATGGAAAATCCACATCGGAAGTATGGGTTCCTATAGTGAATTTATATAAGTGGAATAAACTATAACGGGTAATTTCGTACTCGTGCGTTAGCGAGGACGAAGCCCGAAATAAATAACCTGGCCTACCTGCTTTACCTGTTGTTGGGCGCCAGGAGCTTTGCTCCAATCACGTCGATGTCCGGCTAATCCGGTCCGGGACTCCTTCCGTCGGGTGGCGGGCCTTAAGGGTACGACTTAATTATAGAGGAACGAGGAAGTAATCGGGACTACTCGTATTAACTCGCAATTAATTAAAAAAAAGATAAACCCTTAATTTATTAACAATAACTTCAATTAGTGTTCAATAGTAACAAAATAAAAGAATTAAACGCAAAAATAATAGTCGTCGACGATCTCGTCGATACGCCGTCGATACGCAGTTTCGCAAGACAACAACTTCAAACTTTTTCCAAAAAAAAAAAAAAATACTTCGGTTAATTTCAATCAACACTCTCAAAAACAAATAAACGTCGCTCACTCAGTTAATCTAATCAATTAACGACAGCAACAAATTAAATCTCCCCGCAATTCACTCAATCGCAGCCAATCAACTAAATAACAAAAAAAAAAATTAAATCTTCGCTTAATTTAATTG